ATTTTCATTTTATAAGGTATTCCGGCCCATTCCAGCCCATTCCGGCCCATTCCAGCCCATTCCGGCCCATTCTGGCCCATTCCAGCCCATTCTTCCATTCCAGAAACGCTTTTTCCCCCTTGGTTAAATAGCTAACTTGAGCTAGTTACATAATTTTTTTTCTGTTAAGTTTGTATTTATCCATTAAGGAGCATTCGAATACACGACCAAGATTATCTACTATTTGCTATTTTTTGTAAATCTATACAGAAAATATGTGTCAGTTTTCAAACAATTCAAGATTGAACATATACAGATGATAAAACAGAAAACCGTATGTTAAACAAATTTCATTAATAGCTGAAAGAATATTTTTGATGATGATGAGCACAATCAACTTTGTCAATTTTTAATGCAATATGGTTGTTTTCTTTATGGTAGATTCATTGCACAGACACTGTATACTTTATTTTTGCTACGACTACTGTTTAACTGAACAGTTATCTTATTATTTTATAATAAAAACAGGCTTTATTTTTAAAAAGTTATCAGCATAAAACAGCACCTCGGTGAAAGAGTAAACTATTAACATATTCAATAGTTTATAGGATCTGTAGAGGAAAGGGTCTTCTCGAGTTAAAATGCCTGTGTGTATGTATGTATGTATGTCTGCAGCCTAGATGGACAGACAGACACGGAAATTAGTAGCGGACAGATAGACACATTTATCTGCNTCTATTCACTAGAATCCTATTTAAATAGTGAAAGATTATCTTTATCCTAATGTTTATTAAAAATAGGTTTCTTGAAAACTGATGTATATATAAGTAAGTGTTCATTAGATGAGACGAATTCAATTTATATTTTGACTATTTAGTCATTATTATTTGATTTTTTGTCTTAGATCACTTGTTTCTTGCTCGTATGTATCGATTTCATCTTCTAAAAAATTGATACGATTTGATAATATTTCAATTTGATATTTTAAATGCAATAGTTTTGATTCTTCTAAATCTAATTTTATTCGAAATTGTGCATTTTCTTCTAATAAATTTTCTATTGTTTCCAAATTGTTATTCTTTATTTGTTGTTCATTTATATCCTTCATCGAGTTTGAAATAT